TCTTGAAATGCGAAAACCTGAAACAAAACTGAGGTTTCAGTTTCAGCCTTCCCCTTGGCCTTTTTTGTTTTCATCACGGCACCTCCCTTGCCAGACCTCCATTTCGTTTTGGGCGTTGCGCTGACGCTCACGCTTCCGCCACAGCATTCGCGTTGCAAAGTTGACCCTGGCATATCCACAGCGCGTTCGTTTGTGAATGTTTGTGATGGGTATATAACTCGTCAGCAGTCCAAGAAGCCAAGAACACACATTGATCTCTCCGTCCCAAAGGTGGCAATTGGGGGCCTGGCAAGCCCGTTGCAGAATGGTACTAGTTGTGTACATTGTGGTGCCCCTATACATAGTTGGATGGCTTGATAGTGGTCTATACGTCAACTTGTAGAATGCCAAAAAGTAGATCCCATCAAAACAGTGGCCCCAATCTGCAATTCCAAAATGCAATTCCAATGTCGTAGAATCATTATAAATTATTCACCCCATTGTTTGCTGTTGATATTCCATGACATCCCTTGATATCCCCTCAAATCGGGGGCAGTTGCCCCAACAAACCCAACTAGATCCTGAAATCGGACCTCTTTGGTGGCGTTGACGTCTGCGCCGGAGGGCCCTGCTGCGACAGTTGAAGGATTGGAAGCAAATGGCTGGGGATGACGTGGAAATACCAATGGTATATAGACCATTCAGAATTGTTTGGGGGATAAGTTTGAACCATACTCAAGTCTAGCTGGTGGTGGCTTTCGCCATTCTTAAACACACTTTCTGGATCTGCCATGATGTGACCGCATGGGCGACATCAACCACCAGAAACGTCATTATTGGCACGAGGGGAATATCATCCTTAAGGGGCACAAGGGCAGTGGATTTCCTGCTGCACGGATGAAAAAGCAGATGTCCATGTTTGAACCTGTTTTTTAATGCATGTAAGACACTTGGGTCTACTGCTGCCACAGTGGAAGCGGATAACTTCAATTTAATGAAACATATATTTGGCCGCAAGTTTCAAGATACACTTGGATACAGTGTCAACCCAAATCTGGCTGACCACTTAGGGATGTTGCCGCATGTTGCCATTCAGAAATGACAGTGATTACCCATATCATCTCCAGTGGGTCGATCATCATAGTCCCCAGGGAATGATAGATATGATGTTTTCGTCTTCTTGCGTGCCATAGGTATGGTTTGCGAAAACTTATGTGAAACTAACTTAGAAAAGCAGGTGCCATACCCTTAGATATGATTAGATATCTACATAAATATAAAATATATATCACACATCCGCATTTATTCAACATATATCATTACAATCTCTTTTAATCAATTATAACCAATTATATAAGCATGTTTTTAATGTATCATATCCGTATAATTTCTGAATAAATGAGAATATGTCACGACCCTAAAATCAGGCCATCCTGGGAGACCTGACGACTGGTGGACCCAGCTGTGGAGGTGGCATCGGTGGAGTGGATGGCGCGGGGCCTACGGAAAAATGCATTGCGACCTCTCAGATTTTCATGAAAGTTTGAGAAAATGAAGGGAAATGGTGCTTTGAATTGGATTTTAATGGGTAGAAGCCCAATAAATCCAATAATGTCAAATAACATCTGGTAATTCAACAGTTTAGTATGCCATGGCCCATTTGCTCATCTTTAGTTAGATGATTTACCTATCAAAATGGTGATATTCCCTAGCTATGTTAAGTTGCAGGAGGGTAGGAACCCCGGAAAAGATAGAGAAGTGGTTTACTTAGGATCATTTTCGGAGTGGGGATTAAGCGCAACAGAGTGGGGATTTATGCACCGATTCGACTATTTTCAACGATTGGGATAAGACTGCAGTAATGAACTCTATTTTAGGACTGGATTTACGAACCTGCATCTGTTTGCCGGTTGCTTTAAATATCACCAACAAACAATGGGGATTTAGCCAACAAAATATGGGTACATAATGGGATAACCGGAATATCACCAGCGATATGGATCAATATGGGGTTTGGGCGAGTCTGACAATGGGGTATAGCAGCAAAACAGCTATTGCGACAATGGGACAATAATGAAGCAGAAGTGGATTTACGTTTGACATAGAAGCCTATCCTCAAACAGACCCATGTCTGGCAACTGAATCGTCCCAGGTAAAGTTCAAACGATTAAACGATGCAGTAGTTGAAACCACAACCGCGCCATTCAGCTGTTATATCACTTAAAATCCACATGGATGGAAGGTTTATTGATATATTAATTATTATTGCAATTTATATTGGGGAAACATACGCCGATGCAGCTGGGGTCAGTCCCAACACCCACCTGCAGAGCTTGCTGCTTGAGCTGCCTGGGCCTAGGTGCCAAGCTGGTGACATGGAGGAAACATGAGGAAACTGTTCCGGCTTCCGGCACATCCTCAAAGATCAAAAACATAATGATGTGGAACTCGAGGATTTTTGGGGACTGGTTGGCAAGTTGCGCCTGCAAAACTTTTGCAAATCGGCAGCCAGCCCATCCAACTTGTCATCATCCCACTTGCCCAGCTGAGGGGGATGCAGCCGGTGGAACCACCTTGTGAGGACGAGGCCGTAACCCTCAGGAAATGGGGCTTTCGAGGATGATCCTCCGATTCCATGTAGCCATGTGTGTTGGACCATTGATGGCTTTAATCTGAAGATATTCCATGATTTTCCCAGGATAAACTGGAAAACATGTGGTCGATCATCATCATTTTCCAAGATTTTCCCAGATGTTTCACAGATGTTTCCCAGAGTCTTCTCAATACAAATGAGATCAAATGAGCATGTCTTCGATATCCATGGCATGTTTTATTGGGAATACGCCATGGAAACACCCATGGAACACGTCCGAATCATCGGGAAGTGCCACGATAGGAAAGCCATGGCCTGGGCCTTGGAGTCCTTGGAGTCCGAGGACTTCGAACGCTTCAGCTCTTTGGCGAACTGCGTCTTCCATTTGTTGACCTGGGAATGCCAGGTCTAAGTGGTTGATGCTGATATGAAAATGGGAACTTATGGGAATCAATGGATGTTTAACATAAAGGCTTCATGAGGATTTATAATGGTACCAATATGAACCAATGATACCAATGTAGGGTGTATGAGAGACTAAACCAGAACTTGGAGGATCCTGGGATATCTGCTGAACAGGGACCTACGATCACCATCGTTATGATCCGCTTGTGATCCGCTTATGAGTGGTGGGATGATCCGCCGAGCAAGTATTAGGTACCTTAGGACCTAAGTACCATAGGGTATGGTCAATGCAAGGAGTATCCAAATGGGGAGAAAGCCCCAAGCCTTAACTTTACTTGGTACAATTCCTCCTCAAGCATCAAATTTCAGGTCAATTACATCATTCCGATTTTCAGAGCCTCTATTGGTGGACTTGGAAAAAGGATCCCATCGTTTAAAAAAACAAAAACAAAAACAAACCAACTGAACTGCTCAATGTTTCCCGAATGTTCCCCCGTCGGTGCCATGGGGATCCAATATGATCCAGCCATGGTTGGTCAAGATTCAGCTTCAATCATGTAAGAATCCATAAGAATCCTCCAAACATCCAATATCATCCAATTAATATCCTCATATATATCCTCATGATATTCCATGAAATCCTGATAAAAAGCCCTGAATAAGTCCTCAAGGCCACCAGCTCCCCTGCATCTGCCATGGCAGGAGCCACGTAGTTGCCTAGAGTGATGGGACAAGGACATGTAGCGGAAATATATGGGAATATGCAGAAGTCCGGATGAATCAGCAAATGTATCCGAATGTTTGTTTCAGTTGTTTTTTGGAATGTCAATTCCTGTTCATCATTGATGACTTTTGATAGAGGATTTAGGCATTTCCCAGGCCCCTTCAAGCGATTTATCTTCCCCAACAAAGCTGCTAAGGGGGGTTCGTTATCTGTGAAACCTTGATGTTCTAACCCCTAAAAAAAATGTTGCAGCTGTTTTCTCCTCAACCTCTCTGAGAACAAAACACCTACCTAAATTCTTTGGGATCATCATGATCATTATGGTAAAAGTACTATGGACTACAGTTATGGAGCAACACTACAGCACTTTAATTGGTACTTGGAGCGGAGGGTCTATAGGATGTCTAGGTATAAACATGTTTTTCTTTCCCGCATCCGGGTGTAAGCCGAACATCCAAGCGTCGAATGGCCATCAGGGTGGAACCAATGCCGGTGCTCTGCAGCACTGACAGCGTCACCGGGACCTCATGCAGAAGGCCCAGGCACTCCAGGACCACCTCCTCCTGTTGCCTGGGCCACATGTGCCACAACTACGGGTGGATCTAACTTATAGTTGTTTTTCAGTGATTTCCAGTGGTGTTTATGTGGATATGTATGGATATGTGGTGTTTAGTGGTGTTTATGTGTTTTTCAGCCGCACTTGAAGAGTTTGACCATCCTCCGGAATACAGTGCTCCGGGATGCTCTGAGAAATTCATGGCAGGAATCTGTTGTTGGAAGTAAACAAATTAAATGTTGCTACATTCCCGACCGTGACCGTAGAACAGCATGAATGACTATGCAGTAGTTCTATTTTGGCATCGCCCTTTCAAAATCATTCAAAGCGAAAGACTTTCTGCTGGGGCAACCTCCGATAAAGAAAACATGGCATTGCATGGGAAACAGCTATGCCAGCATGCAAGCCCCGCTTTCTGATGTTTGCTTACCTAATGTTTTTTTGTTTTAATAATGTATGTCACAATGTCGAAAAACTACCAGTATGTGGATACTTTTTGCAAAATGGAACAATCTGTAAACATGGGGGGTCTGTTCTGCAGTTTCCCCTTGTTTCCCTCGTTACTTGTGCAAGTTCATGGGCCCACCTGTTGGTGGACTGTCCGGGTGCCGGCAGGGCGTCTTTGAGCCATTGGCGCAAGGCCGCCACGCCTGTGTCCAAAAAGGGGGAGAAAAACAGCCCACCAGGATCGACAGAGAAATGGGAATCACTCAAAAATTGGTTGGCAAACTGATTTCCACACTTTATCTTCTCTCTCTCTCTCTCTCTCTCTCTCCCTCATCCTATTTGGCGTTTGGGGTCCCTTTGTACCAGTAATTCAACTCAGGGAGTAATTCAACTCAGGGCGAAGTGCCGTCGATTTGGAGACTGCTGTTGATTTTGTTCTTGTTGTTGATGTTATCATGTTGTCGATGATGTCAGTAAAGAGGCGTCGAGAGCGAGTCGATTTTCGGCGCTGAAAGCGAGTTGATTTTCGGCGTCGGGAGCGAGGTGCCGACCCCCAAGACTGGTATGGTCGCGATAACTTCCAGTGATTAACATTGGGGGCGGCATGGCGGCATGGGTCAATATTGTGCCTAGACCATCCTAGACCCTCACCTTGTGCCATTTTGTACCCATAAAAATTGTGTTTTACCCGTTAGCCCCATACTTTTAGTATAGTACGTTCGCAGGGTACCCTAGGGTAAAAACCATGGGTTTCGCCAGGAAAATAGGCTATCCATTGCCCATGGTTGATTTCCCACATCTATGTTAGTTCACCCTTGGGACCCTTGGCGCTGGCGCCTCCTTGCATCATGAATTGGGTGGTGCCTCGCACAACAAGGCCGCTTGGATGTGCATCTCACAAAGGATATTGCACATATGAGTGGGGTATGACGGGTATGATATGGACATTACTAATTACATCTAATTTCCCACTCAGCATGGAACCCTAAGCTTGGAACTGTTGAAATATGTTGAAATTACCTTTCATCCTTTGCCCACTGTCCTTTAATATCTGTTAGTGCAGGGAAGGAAAATATGGAACTTCACACTGCAGCTACAAAACACATCACCATCACCCAGTGACACCCTTCTGATTCAGAATCTGAACCAGGCCAAGATAGTCCAATTACCTCACATTATTGTATACTGTGTTGTCCTTTAAAATCTTTGGACATCGAAAGCTTCATCAAATTCTGCATCAACCAGTACTGTTGCAAGCCAAAGGACTGCTGGGCAAGTGCAGCATTGTCTTTCGCAGCACCATGGTGAACCTCGTGAAGGTGAACGGTGGTGCGACGTGGTGCACCATGTTACAACAACCGTTTGGTGCTGAGCAGGACAAGAGCACTGATTTGTTGCAAATCCCTCTGCTACTACTTCCTCATGTTCGAACGATTTCGAAAGTGCGGATTCCAGACTTTCATGTTGCTTCATGTTTGTGAATGATTCTAGTTCTATTCCATTGTTCCTCATGTTGCCATCATTTTCCCATCATTTTTCCATCATTTTTCCTCATGTTTCCCACATTTTCCCACAATTTGTCATAAATTATCCATCCCTTTTCCAGATGTTAAAACACCGCGGCACTGCAAGCGATGCTCCAGTGGAGTCGACTTCATGGCATCCACAGCCTTCCCCATTCCGCTCAGAGGGATGCAGCCCTGCGCGTTCCTCAGGGTGTTTTGATGCGGAATGGGCTGAGAACTCACCAACAAATGAGGTGACCAGAAACCAGAAAACATGGGCTGATTTCACTGGATTTCACCAGCAACATCGCTGGCGAAGCAAGTTAAAATAAGTTAAACCATCGATTTAGACCTGAAATGTTGATGTCGCAAAATTATGCCTAATATAACTGTCTAAATTCCCTTGGGTTTTAATATCAAACTGGTTATATCGATTGCTTAAAAAGCAACGGACAGGAGTAGGGGTCCCACCTTGTGTAGAGAGATGACAGACCTTTGCAGCTGGTCAAACTGTTTCATTACTGTGGAAGATAGGGCTACTTGTGTTGAATTGAATCTCTGGTGCCGGGTGAATGATTGTTTTAACATGTTTTCACCAAGCATTGGTTCTAACAAGTGGAACAGGACAAAACTTCATCAGTGAAACAAAGAACGGTCCATCGACCACTGGCTGACATACCATCTTTCGATACAGCCTGCTCAAATATAAGCCTCGCACCACTTATGGGCCTTACCGGCATACGGACACACACACACACACTGTAATTATCAGAATATATATATATATATATACACACATATATATATATTGCTTGCCATATCTGTAAACATAAACAATACGTAAAGAAAAAACACACATAATATGCACGAAACATGCACAAACTTCTCAACTTGTATCTTGTATCTATTCCCAGTCGCCCTTCATGACTTCCCACATGACTCCCCCGCGGCACCGAGACACACCAAGCTCTTCAGGGGTCCTTTTTGGGTCTCCACATCAATTTGATTCAAGGCCTGCAGCAGATTGCTCGGAGTTTTGTGGACATTTTGGGACTACCCTCTGGTAAACATACCAAAAAAATATTGAACATGGCCATTTATAGTGGATTTAATGATTTACCCATAAAGAATGGTGCTTTTCCAAAGTTATGTTAGTTTACCAAATGGTATATATACTTCTATGGCTAATTCAGCTGAATCCGGATTCTTCTGGGTGGTCATGATATGTTCCACTAATATTCGTGAAGCAATAGGCTCCACCATCCCCAACTTTACCATTCTGATGGGTGGAATAAACCATCAATCCATATATGGGAGGTTCACAATTGATTTACCTTGATTTACCTACATTCGGTTCTATTTGAAGAAATTTACTTAATCCTTCAACGATTTTATATATACAATGACTTAGACTTGAAGGCATCGCTCAAGCCCCATGTGTTCACCTGGTCCATTGCATGGTCCATTGCATCATCCACGCTTGTCCACTTGTTCTGGTTTCTTCGTTGCTGCTCCTTGGCTCATGAAGGTGATGATGATGGTGACGATGGTGACGATTGTGTTTTTGGTGATGATGGTGGTGTTGACAGTGGTGTTGATGGTAATTATGGTGATATATGGTGATTATGTTGAAAAACTCAGCATAAACTCAGCTAGAGATGCTTTTTTGCGTTTGACCCACTGGCATTTGGATACATTTGGTACTGTATCATGTCGTTATTGCTACAGCCATTCCGTTGGAGCGGATCAAGCATTAATACTCCTTGACCGAGCTTCCAAATTGGACATCTTCGCCCAAAATCGACGGCTTCGGACCTCTCCTTGCGTCTGCCTTGGCGTAATTTCAGGAACTTTGCGCACAAAATGACGCACTCGGATGGCCCCACGTTCCCAAGTAAGTTCTCTCCCCCCTCTGTTTCCTCGTCAGGAAAAATGAACAATGATTCAAAGGTGGTATAGTATTAATATACCTGGAGTTTCCAAATACTGGATTTTTTACCCCTAGGATCCGGTTAGGTTATTAATAGACAGGATATAGTCTAGGTTATCATCATTTTACGATAGTCTTTACGGGGGTTATCACATACTTGGTGATAGTCTATTATCAGGGAATGAAGAACATATATGCTGATAATTTTGGAAGTATTTTCAATATGTCTTATAATTAAACATTTTGTTTTTTAATGCAACATGTACATTGGATTGTTTTTATTTTTTCCATGTGGTTCTCAAGTTTTGTTTTCGTGTTGTTTCTTGTCATTTTTGTAATTGCGTTGTCTACTGCAGAGACGATGTTGCGCAGAAGGCTGGATCAAATTGTCTTTGATTTCAACCAACAGTCTCTGCAGATAAATTAAAATATATGTTTTATTTTTTTAATTAGTTATCACTCTGCATACATGAGTGCAAAGAAATAAGTAGATTAACTTTCCTTTAAATCATATTTTCGTGTCAATATTTTTTTTAAAAAAGTTTTGTTGCATTTAAAGTTTGATTAAAGTTTGTTTCAAACTTTAAAAGATTAGATTCAAAGTTTAAATCAAACTTTGAAATTTTATATTCAAAGTTTTAAGCAAACTTTGAATATTAAATTCAAACTTTGAATAAACTTTGAATAGAAACTTCTTAAAACTTTGAATTCAAAATTCAAAGTTTTAAAATAAACATTTTAAACTTTGAAGATATATTCAAAGTTTGATTTATAAATTCAAAGTTTCAAATCAGTCATTTAAAACTTGACAAGTTACCTTTCAAAGTTTTAGATATTTTAATATTAAACTTAAAATAATACCTTCAAAGTTTCTAATGTTAAATTATAAACTTTGAAGGTGAACCTTCAAAGTTTATTATAAACTTTAAATTCTATTTTTAAAGTTTGAACTAAACTTTGAACAAACTTTAAATTCACTTTTTCGATTTATGTAATATTTGTCAAAATTTGTACTAAAAAAATCCTTTTTTATTTATATATATATGATAAAACATGTTGCCTCATTTGGATTCAAGTTACCATGTGTCAGATTTCAAACATTTGTCTTCCAAAGCAATCCAAGGATTCAACGTCAGCACATACTTTGGCTCGTTACCTGATTCTGGTGAAGCATCGACGCACACAACTGATTTGGAAAAACTAAATGCACACTGAAATGCACAGCAATACTGCAATTATAAGCGCGCTTTAATTCAAAGCGCTAATTCAAAGGAAAATCTGCACTTTCAGTGTCATGCATTGAGTGAAAAAAAGTTCCGTCATTGGAATCAGACAGGTTTTTTCGTCATCTCGTTTCCGTTTCCAGTGTCCATGTCCTTCTCCGATTTTCACAAATTATCTTGTGTGTCTACTTTTTTTTAACAAAGACTAACCTTGCAAAAGCTTATCGTGATTTCGTGATAAGCTTTCGAAATAATCTATATAGACTATCATCAAGAAATCATGGATGATAACCTAAAAAGACTATTTATAACCTAACCGGATCCTAGGGGTAACTCCAAACCCAAAAAAGATCGATTTTGGGGGTTGGTGTGGAAAAAAGAACACCAGAGTGACTCCAGAGTGGTTTTTGCCGTTCCTGACACTTCAGACGTTCTGGAGTGGAAAAAAGCGTTCAAAAGCGTTCAAATGGCGTTCAAAAAGCGTTAAAAAAGCGTTTAAAACCGTTCGGAAGCGTTCTGGAGTTACAAAAAGCGTTCTGGAGTGGAAATAACCGTTCAGGAGTTCTTTTTCTCTTGAATTTGGCAAAATTGATCGATTTTGGCTTTGGTGTGGAAATTTCCACGATCAAGAGGATCCAGGTAGTGATATAATATATTACTAATGTAGTAGATCGTAGATGGTCATAATATGTCTTAATTTTCAGCGTAAAATTTCTATCCTCAATCCTCCTCATAAACACCTGCTCAGCAACAGCACCAGGATCAGAGAGGCATAACCAACCATGACACTTCGGATCTGGCTCGCGAACTTCGGGTGCACTTTTCTGGCTTTCCGACCTGGGCGCGAACTTGAAGATGGGGAATGATGGTACCTAGACCCTCCAAGTACTTATTATAAAATATGAAACAGTTTTACATAGTTTTACCCCGTGATTGTTTGAGTACTTTTACTTCAGGGTATTATATTATCTGATCTGGTTGACTTCCCCCTCGCTTTTTAAAACGTCCACTTGATGCATGAGCTGCATTGGAGGTATCAAGAATCACTTACCCCTTCGAAACAAAATGTCAATCAATCATGACTGAGAAAGGCATCCATTCAAGTCACATTGTGGCAGTAATAAAAAAAACTGCCACAGCCGGTGAGACTAGAGCAACGCCCAAGATAATACAAAAATACCATCCATACGAAATTGAAGCAAATTACACGTTCCAATCTGTTTGGGGTTTATGTACTGCAGGCTAAAACGATGCCGAAAGTCTTTTTGGGCCGTCCACGACCAAGTCCTTGCTTCGGCTTCCCTTCCTTTGGCTTCCTGGTGCTTCAAATCATGCCATAATATCGTGCCATCCAAAATGCCGTGTTTCTCTGCAATTATTAGGGTACCCCATTCCATCCTTCCATCCAGTGGTTAATCATCATGACCATTTGGTACACCCCATTCTCTGATACTCTCAGCCACAGCCGTGGAGCTGCTTGACGAGCCTTCCAAACATCTCCGCCTCCTTGACGGGCCTTTGCGGGGGAAGCCTTAGCAGGTAAACCACAATCCCCACAACACGACCGATGGTTGATGTTACAAGCACCTGGAACCTCAACGTCCAGTTGTTGCTACTAATTAGTACAACTGTTGAGTTTTGGGATGTGCTTTTTTTTTCTCTAAGGGTGTTGTATGGGTTTTGGACATTTGTGGGTATTTGAGTTGGCAGGGAAACCAAGGCGCAAACAACCCTTTAACACCACGCGATTGGATCAACTGGTGCACTGCTCCCGTGAAACAGTTGCGGGGCAGGTAACTGCCAGCCCTCTCACCCTCTCATTGATTTCTTGCCCAGAAACGTCGCTTCTTTTGCGGCTTCCTTTGGTTTCGAGGTCCTCGCGCGACAGCTTGGCAGCCAGTCTGGCTCAGAGAGGCTTTGATCAATTTTCACTGCCTATCGTCCCAGGAAGGGTTTTCATATATGACACCAACCCCTCGGACCAGGTCTCAAAGACTTAACGAGTTTGGCCTGTTTCGATTGCTCCGACGCACACGCTTGGGAGTGGGGGTCGTGGATTTGCCCGGTGCAGCTTTGTCGGCTGGATCAGGCGTTTTCTTCCTACACCAAGGGGCAAAGGGCAAGGGTGTTCCTTCATGTTCCTTCGACAAAGCATGACAAAGCCCCATTCTGCCGGTGAAATTGATTCAAATTGCATCAGATCAACTTGAGAAAATGCGCCCGGCAAACAATGTGCCATGATGGATTCTGATAACTATTGATAACTAACATATATTCAAACAATTTCAAAGCCATGCAATCCCATGCGCATGTGGGGTAGCGTCCCATCAGCTTGAGACTACAGCATTTGGCTGCTAGCTGCTACCCTTCTTCTCTGCCAGTTCCAAACGACTGAAATGATTTTGAATCACAAGAAAAACATACACGCAGTGTATAAAAAACAAAACCTTAGATTCTCCCATATTATTTAAAAAAGAACAAAACTTCAACAAGCAGAAAACACGGAAACTCAATGAACATAGTACCCAACAGAAAACATACAAACGCACTTCAGAGCCATGACAGGCCGGCCTTGTCTCTTTGGGCGTTTCTTTCTGTTCTGCTTTCGAACCTTTCGACTTTGGGCGCTTTCGACTGGTCTTTTGACGCTTGCCTCAGCTGGTCTCTTGTGCTGGAGCCCATCCTATGTGCTCGTCTCGTGAAGCCATGAGTGGAATAGCAGCATGATTTTTCGATTTTTCCATAGACACGGCTTTTAGAAACCAACAAACTCAGGATATCTCAGGATCTCACGTTCAGGTCGTTCAGGTCGTTCAGGTTTCTCTTTCTCTTCCGGCGCAGGAGCTCTCTTTCGTCCTAACCAGATTGGGAGCAACCACGAGAATCATCCTGACATCGTGCCACAGAGTCACATAATCCATATAGCAAACCCAACAGTAAACTGTGCCATCTACAGATTGGATTTATGACATGATTCCATTTCCATCCATTTCCACAAATTCGGCTGTCGCTAGCTGCTACTCGGCGTCGGCATGGATGTTCCATTCCATTTCAGGAGGTGAAACACAAACCAATCGGCTAAACCCAGCATTCCCAGGAGTTGGGTGGCAAAAAAAACGAGTTTCCGATGAAGATTTTCCCTTAATGCAATCCATGGAAACAGCCAATAGAAAGATCATGAACACCCAGCCACTGGAAAAGGCAACAAGGCACCTGAGCCCAACAAACCTCTGACCACAGCTTCCTGAAATTCCTTCAACCTGCCAGGCTTTCAGAACAAATTGGCGGCACTAATGACCAACGTCTGGAAAACAATATGAAGAAACATCAAAAGATAACCCTTAAAATAGGATGCACACACACACTCTCTCTCTCTCCCATGTTTTTTGTTGGCTGGTCAACTTGAGTTTGAAAGCAACCAACAAGTTGCGAGACATGTCCCAGAAACTGTGGGATCTTGTCTCTTGACTCTAACATGGATCACTCACTCAGAATATGACCCGGACCTGTCCTCAAACTCAAGCTCAAGAAGATTGAACATGAAGTTTGTGGTGAAACTTTGCCCGGTTACCATTTGCTCCACTCAGGGGCAATAGGGGTTTTCTATACTTGCAAATGTTCTAGAGCCTCTTGGACAAACAAAACCAACAAAAAAAAGTGTTTTCCAAGGCAGTATGTTTGTTCATATCCATCAACTATGCATGGTCACCACAAACAGCAATCATTGTAAATGTCGCATTCGAGGACAAACAACGCTTAATAATATGCTAGGATTAGGATATGTTGTCCATTGTTGCTGGTTTAAAATCAAAACATGTTAAAATTACTTAAAACTTTCATGTTTGCTGATTCAATACATTTGTTTGCAGGATTTTGCAGGCGCACGTCCACTTTCATCAAAATCGGGGATCAAAGTTGTGCATTAATGTGCATCAGGAACAATAATCCCCATGCCCCATTCCAACCCTTTATCTAACCATACTGACCTTACATACTAACCAATCATGAGCTTAGTGTAGAAATCATTAAAAAAAACAGGAAAATCCGCATCCCCATACTAACGTCCATCTAACCCCTATCTCCGAAACCCCTAACCATCGACCACGCGCGGTGCACCTCTTTTCGGGGATGGGCCCATCGGCCAAGCCATTCAGCAAGCCCTGCTTGGATACCGCCATCCTGGTCCACAAGTTGGGACGTGAACGCCGCAGCGATTAATAGGAACCATTAGGAACCCGCAAAAAAATGGAAAAGCACCGGAAAATAGAATGTATCACTAGTTTATGATTTCAGATTATTAGAGTTTTGGTTTTCTCTCGCCATGCCTCCTAAGATCTTCCAAGCACCCCTCAAAATGTAGCTTCCTTTGAAAGTTAAAATGAAGAAATTGAATGAAATTGAGGCTTCTGTGCAACATGAAGCCATAGTGCTTTAGGATGTTTGGCCATCAGCTGTTGATGTCTCACTTGGAAGTTTGCACGAGTCATGCCCCGTTGATAGCACTAAATCACCTTATGATGCTGTGAAATTGAATAATGACAACACACCAGACCCTCATAATGGGATGTTATTACAATTTATATTTAACTTAGCCACATTAATCAACATTGTAGTTTCAAACAGTTTGATGCGGAAGAGAACACCAAGGAAAAAGAACCGTCATCGACCAAAGCAACCCATAGCAAACCCTGTTTACATCAACTGGGGAGTTGATTAATCCTGGGGCAGCAATGGGGCAACATAATTGGGTGTGCCATGGTGTGCTTCATACCAAAACGCATCAAGGACATTCAAGGTATCCAATATTAGGGGAGGTGTTCATCCATGCCAACTGGGGGTCCATCATAGTTGAGTCGCCATGGTTGCAATCATACTTATCCAAAGTTTCTATCTCACCATCTCAATTATAGTTGACTCACCAAACAATGATTGACTCAGCAACGTTGAGTCATCCATATGATGGTTGCAAAATCCTGCACCACCGGATGGTTGAAATCATCCAAAATCATGGGATAAACATGGATAAACCACCTATCAACTGGTGGATTTCGCAACCATCCACAGCTTGGCCTCTGATGCTTGTAGCACAGCACGCTGTCGCTGGGCCGTGATTCCTGGCATTGGCCGCCCGCGCCAGCATTCCAGGTCCGTGCCAAGCAGAGCTTCGAATCCTCGCTGGCGTCGTGGAGTGGTAAATCTCATAGGGATTCAAGGGGTTCAACATGGTTGAACCCAAAAAGGGATCCCTCAAACCCAAAAACAGTAAGATCTTTAGAATAGTGGTGTATTGAGGGCTTATCAACAAGCAACAACGACTACTGTATGAATATACAGTACACATCATCTACTATGGCAGGGGGGCATTTTGTGAGGGATTGGTTGAACCCCCGTGACAACATATTCCAGTTTCTAACCAGTATGGTTGTTGGAGCCACCAAATGGAGACCAGGATGCGATGGTTTTGGGAGAGAAGTTGTGCCATTCTTCAGCACCATTCAGCGCCTGGAATCGCTGCGTTTTTTGCTGATCCCCTCCCGCCAATCCAAAATGGCTGGGAAATCCCCGAACTCAATGGGCAGAAATGGGGGCAATGGTCCAGTGCCATGTTTTGCCACAGGGTAAGTTGAACCTGAAATGG